TTATGGTGACATACAGCACAAGAATCCGAGTTTATGTAACCCCAGGAATGAAGGGAGTCCCGGACTTTGACTCCCCTCAGGGTGATCAACCACAGGAGATCATTCTTGAAATTCTCAGTAATCTGATCACGAACACCTAGCCAGTGTTGCCTGAGACTAAAATCTGAACTTACATAGGATGACCAGCCCCAATGTAGTCTGGGGCGAGTCACCTCAGTCTTAAGAAAAGCTTCATAACATTCTTTAGAGCTATAAGTGAAGGCAGTCTGATTATTTACTTGAGCGTTAAGGTCAGTGATAGCACGTAATACGCAGTCGTAGAACTTTGTCGGGGTTAAAGCACTAGGGGTGGAGTTATCCCGCAGGTGGGACCACTCCATCCCCAGGCGAGTGAGTTGAGAGCCAATAAAATATTTCAAAAGATAATGGTCTTCAGTATCTGGATTGGCAGCAATAGAGACAGTAGCTGCTACTTTCAAAGCTTTACATTTAGTAATTAAATCAACAAGAGCTAAACCCCCTTCCGTAAAAGGGAGGGTCAAGGACTTGCGACTGACAGTTTCGATCTTAGAACCCCACACGAAGGGGTACACAAGCTTGTTATATCGAGAGACCACCCATTTAGGAAGGGGTAAAACCTTAGCCAGAAACCAGAGCTTACTAGCGCCTAGAACATTTACAATGAGTGCTTTGCCAACCAAGGAAAGGGAACGAGGTTTCCAAGAGTTGAGCTTGGACTCGAGTTTCTCTAACCGAGTTTGCCAATTATCCTGGTCTACATTAAGGGTCCCATTGGAATACCAAATACCACAGATCTTCATTTTGTTTACCCAGGTCAGACGCTCCCTTTGGTCTGACCAAAGTTTACCCAGGTCAGACCAAAGGGAGCGTCTGACCTGGTACGCCATGAGCCTAACCACATGGCTTCCGTCTTAGCAAGATTAAGTTTCGCTCCCGTGGCCAATTCATATCTATTTACCACTTGAAACAAGCGACTCAGGGCTAGAGTGTCCTTAACAAAACAGGTAGAGTCATCCGCATACTGTCTAATCTTAAAATTCTTACGTGCTCCGGGGAGGAGGAAACCTCGTATACCTGGGTCTCGACGAATAGAGTTGGCAAGGACCTCAGCACATAAAATATACAAGAGCGGGGAAAGTGAATCGCCTTGTCTCACACCGCGTTCAAGCGGGATAGGCTCAGTGAGGTAACCATTAACTATCACTTTCATGGAAGCATTGCTATAAAGAGTATCAATCCATTGTCGAAAATCAGGCCCAAATCCGAATCGTTGTAGAACGTTCATAAGAAATGAACGATCTAGGCGGTCAAAAGCTTTCTCTTGGTCTAAACTAGCTAAAATGCCGGGCTCATCAGTACGCTCAATATGGTCTAACGTATCTCGCAACAAAAATAAATTTTCAAAAATAGTACGGCCAGGGACTGAACAAGTTTGATCACTATGAATAATACGAGGGAGAACTTTCAATAATCTATTAGCAAGAGCTTTAGAGGCAATTTTGTAATCAATATTCAGTAAAGAAATAGGTCGCCAATTTTTGAGAGATTTTCTCTCACCTTTCTTATAAATTAATCTGGTGATACTAGATTGCATGGATTCAGAAAAACAGCCTAATTCAAAACTAAAATTATACAGGTCTAGCAAATGAGGACCTAGGATGTCCCAAAATTTAACGTAAAATTCTTTTGGTAAGCCATCAGGACCGGGGGTTTTCCCCGCAGCAAAGCCATTTAAGGCCTGAGTAATTTCTGACAGAGAGAATTTCTCCTCACAGGACTCGACATCATCATCACTTAAAAAAACATCCAAATCAGAAAGAAGCGTTTGCTGAAGCGAAAGATTTACAGGTTCTTTACTATAAAGGCTGCGATAAAAATCAAAGTGAGCTTGTTCAATCTCTGGTTGAGAAAAAACCTCCACTCCGTGCGAATTAAAAATCGAGTTGACCAAACTCTTCTCAATACGGTTGGATTCAAGGCGAAAAAAATATTTACTCGGTTTTTCACCCTCTTCAATCCATTGTGCACGACTTCGTACTTGGGCCGATTTTTGTTGTTGAAAATTAATAGGATTAAGTTGACTTTCGAGTCGTTCGATGGTGAATCTAGCGCTAGAGTTTCCCGCAACGAGTTGTCGTTTTGCAATAATCAAAGCATTTGTCAAACGCACCCGTTCTGAATTAATTTTCCGGGATTTTTGATTACCAAAATCAATAGCGGTCTTACGGATAGAATCTTTTAAAAGCTCCCACCAGTCATGAAGCGAAGGAAAAGCCGGTTTAAGAGAAACATGTCGCTGAATTACATCAACAATAACAGCACAAAAATCTTTATCGCTCAGAAGATCTAAATTTAGCCGCCACACGCCAGGGCCGTGAGAATACACATTGTCTAAATTTAATTCAAGGTTAACTGAATCGTGATCAGAAAAAACACAAGGAAGAATTTTGCATTTAACTGCATGAGAGGATAGGGAGGAATGGATAAGAAATTTATCCAGACGACTCCTGATCGATTTATCCGAATTAAACCAAGTGCTCTGAATTGTGCGACCATGTGCTTTTCGCCAGATGTCAATCAAACGGTGCAAAGTTCTGAAGTCACGTAGCTCGCTTGAGATACAAATATTCCCCTGAAATTTATCAAATTCGCTTTCAAAACAATTAAAATCACCGCCAATAATTTTCAAAGAATGAGGAAAGAAAAAATCCGGGAGACTATCGAAAAAAACCTTTCTTTCACTCAGATTAGTGGGAGCGTAGATGTTAACTAAATTTAGCCGTAAACCCTTCAAAGTCGCTAACGCGCTAACAATTCTGCCAGAGAAATGTTTTTTCCACTGTTTAACCTCAAAACACGAATTTTCTCTAACTAAAAGGGCCACACCGCCCTGTTTCCCAATTGCAGGAGACCAAAAACTAGGGCCTCGCCACTTAGATCGCAAATTCTTAATCACATCAGGATTTGAAGCAAGCGTTTCTTGCAAAAAAACAAACTCCGCTTGAGAATTACGAGCGAAGTCAAAAATAAATTGCTGCTTACTGTCAGCACCAAAACCACGGACATTTAAAGTAGATAAATTAAGTCTGAATTATACGGAAAAGGAAAAAGAGAACTCTGGCAAATAACGGGATTTAAAGTAAACAAAACATACCGAGTCCATTAAGGTTTCTTGGGGCGATGTTTCTTGTGTTTGTTTGTCCGATTTCCAGAACGATTGCGTTTAGCAAGAGGAGTGTTTTCGTCCGATTCGTCAGAAAGTTCGCGTCCTTTGCCAGTAATAATTTGAGGTTGTGTAGCGATCCTTGTCGGTGCTGAGCTGTCGACGTGCTTAGCGGGTTTGCGTCCATTAGATAAAGCGGGGTTAGGCGTCGGAGTAGGCGAAATGTTGTCAGTACTCTGTTCAAAAAGTTCGGCTGAATCCTGGAAATTTTCGTCGTCGTCTTCGTCTTCAGAGGCAGTAGAAAGTTCTTCGTCGGTCGGTGTATTTTCGTCCGGGGTAATAGTATTGTCACTTTCCATTTGGTCGAGCTGATTAGCGAGGCCTTCCAAGGGGGGTTCTGGTGTCGCTTTGTCGCTTGTTTTCGCCTGTTTCGTTGGGGAAAATGTCGCTGTCGTTTTTTCGCTAGAAAGGCAAATGTCGCTGTCGGTATTTCAATTTTTGCGATGCAGAACCGTTGAAAAATGTCCACAAATATTTACACTTACTTGATTAACCTTGATTAAAACTGCTGCACTGATAGCTAATTGTGATACTGAGTGCCGATATTGTAACTATTCTTCCATACAGATGTCACAGATGCGCTTCACGGAGTCTGGTTGTTTACCATTTACCCAAAAATTCCGGAAATTTCGGTCAGAATGTAAATGGTAAGACAATGGACAACTTTGGCTCGACCAACCGGAAAATTTCCGAAATAAACGGAACGTCTTGAAAGGTAGTTCAAAATTCCCAACCGAAATTTCCTAACGGAAATGTGTGTACCATTTGCTTTTTTATCTACCAGTTCCAGACCCTACGCCAGTTTTGATGCGTAAGCGTGGTTACTCAGCTCGTTTCGCAAACGGAATTTCCCTTTCTGGAGTTTTGCTTACCATTTACACAAACTGTTGACCAACCGATTTTCCCTTGTAAATGGTAAACAACCTCTATCTCAGTAGCCTCGCATTTGTCAACTCTCCCCAGTCTTACGGACTTATTACATAAGGTCATACATTGGCGCAACTCTGGCTTACTACAGACACTACATGCTGATCGTCTGAACAAAGGATCAGAGAAAATAGTGAATGACCCGTTAATGTGCGTATGTACAGTGAAATAAAATGTCAGTTTGCGCCAACAGTGGATATTTAAGGTAATTACAAATCTAGATATTTGCAGTAATTACAAGTCCAGTCTGGTCGGTGGACGGATATTTCTTCCGACTCGAGACGTGGAGATGGTTGGCAGGGTCACAGAGTCAACACAGACCACACTGTTTAGCTCATCGTCGGAGAAGTCTGCTTCATCTGCAACAGAATCTGTTATGCTTTCATCACCTTCAATGCACAGATCCCTTGTCTCTCTAAAAACACTGACAACTCCTTCGTAAATTTCTTCTGGCAGTATTATTTCTTCGCTAGCCGCTGGTGTCAAGGCATCAAGTACCAATCCCACAGCTTCCTTGGGTAAATCGACTTGATCATTTCTTTCAAAAAGGTAGATGTTTTGTTCGGAGGGATAAAAAATATTGATCTTTGGCAAATAAGGTCTATGCTGGTCTTGGTAGATATCTTCAGCTGCAACTCCAAGATAAAAAGGTGTGGAAATAAGTGTCCTTTCAGTAAGGCCGACAAGGCCTGGTTTTATGGCCAGAACGGTTTGCGAAGAAAATAACAATTCAGCATTGGAGACATTGGAGTGCAAGCTGCCTTGCCTTGAGGACGAGGTCTCAGTGGGGAAAGAGAATGACAGTGGTTGCGGTATGGGCTGCGGCCTGGTATAGGAGTAAAGTGGAAGAGTTCCAACGTTGTCCTTAGTGGATTGATCTCTTACGGTCACTTGTGCAACTGGTTGGCCGTAATTGTCACGCCAGTCACGAAGAACCTTCTGATCTGCAATGGGCATGGATTTTGTCGGGAGTTGCGGGATGACTGGAACATCAGTAAAGTGGAGACTGCCACCGTCAGGGAGCTCATAGAATGATGAGGAGGCAGTGAAGTAATGAAAGCCGCATTTGGTCAACTGCTTGACGTTCTCTTTCATCGTTGGACCAAAGAGCTGTGTATATTCAAGAAGCGTCGGTGTAGGGTTTCTCGATCGCATCTTACTGAAAAGGTGCTCCACGACAAGTGTTAGTAAAGATGCAAGTCGCACATGAGAAATGAAGTCGGCATTGATATAGCTCAGGCTTTCCTTCAGTATTCCAAGGGATTCCAGTATGACTTTGACGCTCTGAATGCTCTTTGAAGAGGGTGTACCTTGGGGACCTTGCACGGTAGATGCTCGACAAAGAGATTCTGCTGTCTCTCTCTCCCAGGTGCTTAAGAGTGATGATACGTCACGGAAGGCAGCTATGGCTTGAGAGATAATGTAAATGTTCGGAGAGATTCCAGGCAAATGAATACCGAACGTTTTACAAACAGTATCAGTTTGTTCCAGGTAGAGTGAAAGTGCTGAAGTAGGGGTCACCATGCAGACGCGTCCAACAGCAGTATCAGCAACGTAGATTGTTTTCCCTTCAATACAAACAGCTGTGGGCTGTTCAAAGGAGCAAGAACTTGATGAACCATCTTTAGATGAATTAACTCCCGAACCAGCAATGTCTTTCACAGTGCCGTTGGACAGCAAGCGCAATTTTCGGGCATCTCTTGTCCGTGAATATCAAGTCTCCGTTCTCATCAACTGCGATTCCGTGAATGCGCTGGCAGCTGCTCGACTTGTTTGAAACTAAAACTGTCTCTGCATTAGTCGAAAGGTCAATGCGTAGCAATCCTCCCTCGTCGCTTGAGTCTGCCACAAGAAGATTTCCCGTTGCAACGGAAATTCCTAATGGTAAAGCAGAGTCTTTAAGAAGGATCTCAGAGATGACACTTCCTTTCAAGACTGCTCCGTTGTTGGTGGTAGAAACTTGAAGTACTCGATGCGTGTGCAAATCCGAAATAAACAACAGGTCAGTGCCAAAGCCACAAACAGCAAGGGGAGTGGAAAGTGGGGTCGAACGTGCAGTGTTCAGTGGAAGAGAAGAAAATTTGGTGCAGTCAACTTTATTTTCTCGCTGTGCCTTTGTCATCCACTCTTTTAGGCGAGCAACCATATCCTTCTTTTGAAGACCAGCCGTGGGAATTTGTCTTTCCTCTAGAGCTGGTCTCAACTCCGAAACCTTCATACTGTTGGGCTTAAGAAATACGGAGGAGCTTAGCGGAAGATATGCGACTCTTTTATTGCCCATGTCTGCGACGTAAAGGACGTTGTTTAGGTAGGCGAGACCTTGTGGATTCATCAAACTGCCACTTACTTCACTGACGTCAACAGGGTAGTGCAATCTACCTTGGAATACCCGAGATTTGCTGTTGTCGGCTACAAATAGCTTCCCTTCAGGTGCTATACAAAGACCGGTTGGATGGTCGACAACACCTCTCGCGTTTCCTTTGTACAAACGGTAGGGTTCGGGGATGAGAGTTTGTGTGATGCGTGGCACACTGGCCAATAGCACACGCACCGACTCTTTGTTGATGGTTAGCAGGTCGGGGACCGACATGCGGTCTCGATTTCGCACTGCACTCAAGGTGACAACGCTTCTCATCTTCTCTCGCATCGCTGGGTTGGGGTCATTGTACAATGTTCTTAGGTTCGAAAGGTTGAATCGTTCTCCGCCTTTGTTCAGGAACCAGTTGGAAAAGCTGCCCTTTAAGCATTTGGCCACGTGGGTTGCCTCTGGAATTGGAAGAAGAAAGTGAAGTTTTGGAGGGAGTGTTCCACCTGTCTTTTCCTGTATCAGCTTAAGCATAGCCTGTTGTTTTCTTCGCAATCCGCCGACCAGGCTAAGACCAACAATTTCACACATTGGATACCGGAGTTGATGCAACGAGTACACGCTCGCAGTGGTTCTTCAACAAATTTCTGGCCATTACTTTGGCAAGTTTGACAGATACTGTTGTTTGAAGCGCAATCTGAATAATAAACAAGATATTTTATGTTCAGAAAGTAATTTCAGAAAGTATAAAACTTTGTCGGTAATAGCTAGAAGCCTTGCAGGTGCATAGACTTTCTTTAAAGATATTATTATGCACGTCCCCCACCATGTATCACAAGATCGAACAAGGTCGCTTTTTTAATCTTTCATACACAGGTCGATCCTGCCCACTTGAGTGAACACTTTTCCTTTTATCGATTCTAGTTATGTGGTTGCTACTTTCTAAAGATCTTTGGTATTAATCAGGTTACATAAGAAATTTCCGAAGAAAGAGGCGTTTAAAATGGGAGGTATACGATATGATTTGGCATTTAACTGTCAAATGAGGATTCCTAGCTCTATTTCCTACCTTGACAGTAGCTACTGCAAGCGTCTCCTGATGAAACAATGACATTCATGCAAGTTTCGGTTGAAACTCCCAGGAGGCAGTGCAAGCAGATTTGGAGCTGTTTCACACGCGTTTCTATTCGTTTCTTTACCGCGTCCCCATTGGTTTTCTTGGAGGTGTAGTCATTCCCAACAGGTAAAGAAAGCTTATTGTCAAGTGCTGTCACAACTAAAGTATTCGCCTCGACGACAAAAGAATCACGAAGAAAACTTGGATCGGGCAAAGGATTTTCTTTAGCAAAGGCTAAAGTTACAGGAAACAGTAGTCCAACAAGTTCTTTCAATCGCCGATCAAATTGCAAACCAGGTTTGAGGCTCATACCATCAGTAGCTAGCGCTGCAGGTATCAGGAGCAGACTGGAACTCTGGAAAAGGGGTTGTACCTCACTATCTTCAAGTTGGGCAAGAAGGAGGTAGGCAATCAGAAGGCTTTTAATGATTCCATTGCGGGTGGTGTAGCCTGCCTTGTTCTTATCCCTTGTGGTCTTTGAAGGTATAAAGGGCAAGTTCCAATCCTTCCAGTTGAACTGGAATGTCCCACCATGCCCTTGGTTTCTGTCCCCTGGTCCCCTTAATAAATTCATGGTTTTTGGTTTCCCGTGAAATTCCAGAGTTTCCATGTATGTCTTAATTGTCCCATCATGTTGAAACTGTTCACGAGGATTTGATGACTTCTGTGCGAATTCAAGAGCATTCTTCAAACATCTGTAGAATATATGGTTCCGTTCGAGTTTCTTTGACTCTATTTCCTGTTGCAGCATGATGACTACAGGATCAAGCTCTTCCAAAGCCCTAAAAGCAAAATGTCGTATTCATGACTGTTCTGTGTCCTGTCATTCCCGTGCATTGCCGAAATATGCTTATCCAGTACAGACGTTAATATGTTGAGTTTATATCACATCATGTTGTTTTAGCTGTAAATATAGTGAGCGGCCGCTCTATGACCATCTATTGCCGACGTAAACTCCCTTCCATCGCCTACTCGCGTAAAAACATGAACTGTGAAGGGTTTCTGCACTACAAATGACGTAAAACACCTTAAATGTACGTTTTAGGGATGCACACCGTAAACAGAAGTAAAGGAAGTCAGGAGATTTTAAACCAGACAGTGCCAAAAACTTACAGACATGGAAACGTGTACTCGCTGCCCTCACTATCTTCGCTGTCGCTAGTTTCTTGTGTGTTTTCCCACTCTACTTCACTCCTGTATAATATGAACAACGAAAATAGACATCTCAACACTGGCTTGTTTATTACTTTTCATTTTTATTATATCAGTTTCCTCGATTATTTACAAAGCTGACTTTCATTTTTCGTTATAGTTATAACCTTCTAACTCAACCTCAAATTTTTGACAGCAAACATATTGGAAGCTAAATTAAACAAATAAAAAAAGGAGACTACTTGTCAATAAGTAATCAGCCTAAACAATACGAAAATAGCATTAGTAGTCAATTATCGCCTCTCTTCGAAGAACAATATTGATCAATATTCCTTATTTCTGTACGATTGCTCAATAGCTGGCCGGCCATGAAGACAATGAAGCATTGGCTTCACTTACATATTAAGATCATTAAGCTCGTCATTTGCTTCCGAAGATGCCGCTTGCTGGTTAGACAAGATGGACGCAAATATGGTTGAAATGTTACCACTTCTTACGGCTGGTTGACAGTTTTTCCAGTGGCCTAAACGACATTTATATGTGACATTTTATTATGTGTATGTGCGAAGCATATGCATACTATACAAGACTCCATATAACACTTACAGGGTTCATAAGAAATATAAAAAGCAATCTGTGACTTTGGTTCAACTTATTTGCGAGAAATGTTTACATTTATAAGCCGGTGTTAATTTCTTCCAATACTCTTCAAAAAAAGTTACAAAACTCGAGTCAATAATCTATGTAAAGTGTTCTGTCAGTTTCAGTGGTCGTTCCTTCTACAGACTTTACTGTGGGTAGAGAGTAACTCCTGCATAAAGAACGTGTGGACCTATGTCACCGATGGACCCACAAAAAGTGAAAAACATAAATTGTAGTACTTACTATCACCAAAATGTTTCGAATAGCGCGGGCGATTCACCATCCTCACCCTACGGCATTTCCCGCATCGAATTTGAAGCTCACTTACAGCTTCGGACCCCGGGAACCGTGACGCGACGTCTGTGGGAAGTAATAACGTATGTTAATGTTTATCAACAGGACATGGCTTGTACATTGACTACAGTTGGTATATATGTTGTGGTCCAATTTATTCCTTGGTTTAAATTCTATTTTCCTTCGTTTGTGGATATGTTAATGCATGACAATGAGATTGAAAGAAAAGAAAAGAAAATTTAAACCAAGGATAAAATTTAACCACAGCATATACAGTATCTCTACCTTTGAATGACGCAGACAGCACATTTGTATCAAGCTTACTTATATTGAAATTTCTGAAACATACTTAATCCGGAATTTTATCCATCTGGTATGTGTCTTACTTTGATTGGAAGGCTAAGGTGGAGGGATCAAGACCGAGAATACGAAAATTAAAGGTTAAAAGTAAACAATAATTCAAAATAAAAACCTTCTTTAAAACTTTTGAAGCGCTCCTTCTGTTCCTCAGTCCTTTCGAAGTCAAAATCGGTTGCTTTAGAAGTAATGTGGCTTCTAAGAGCGCTTAACAGCCGCTCTTCTTGCACTGCCTTTTCATTTCTTCCTTCGGGTCGTTTTTTCGGCTTTTTAACTTTCTTCAAAGAATGGAGGACACCTGGTGCAGCCTTGTACTGAACCTCAACTAGCCGAACTATAAAAAGGAAAAAAGTCATAAAAGCTCGTCTTCTAAGAGAAAATATTCAGACAGCCATCAAAGCCAAGAGATGGCTAATACTACTGATACTTCTCTTCCGGCTACTACTAAAACTTCCACTGACACTACTACCACATAGAACACAGCAATGACCAATCGTATTACTCACTTAACAGCAGATACTGGTGCAATTGACTTGTAAGCCTGGCAACAACATTCTGCCACTCGACTTCCGTCTTTGCTGTGAACGTTGGCAAGCCCCCATCAATCGCACGTCCGCAGATGCCGATATCCATGTCAAAACTCCCGATGTTAGCACGCCTAGCATCTTGCTCTAGCCCGTACATTTCACGGCAAGCCTTTTTGAATTCACTGAGTAGTCCACCTAATAAAGATGAACACACAATGGTGTTGCGCTTGTAGTGGCACTTGGTGTGCCCAAAGCGATAAACTTCAATAACAGTGTCTAGGTTCAAGGCTGACGGTGTCGAAGATTGCCCCTCTTGCCGACCCTTTTCAGCATCGGAAGGAGCATTCACTTCTGCAGCGACTGCCGAAGAGATACCAGGACCACTAAGAAAGCCGGAGATTGTCGTCCTGAATACCCGTACGTTTGGCACTGTTAGCCTCATTCATGGAGTCGCTATCCCCAGTGTCAGAGTGAATACGGCGCCTTTTGCTGGGCCGGTCAATTTCACTACCACTCTCTGAACTAGAAGACACCAACAAATGCTTTGCTGTTGGAAAAACAGAGAAATAGCGGACAAAGAAGGCCGTGTTACTCCAGAGAAAAGTTACAGGCAACTAGGGGCCGTTGCGGTGACCCGATGCAGTTGGATAAAACTGTTCTAGTGTCGTGACTTTGTTAAAAAAAACTTTCATTGATTTGTGTATTAGGTCTGTTCTACTGAAAAATTGCGTCACTAGGGGCTTAGCAGAATAAGCTAACGTGATCACAAATTTCCTGTCAATTTCTTCACATTTACGCAGTCATCTACCATCAGCTAACTCGAAAGTCTTCGAAAGGCTGTCACATTTTGATTGTTAGTGTCGATTGTCTCAAAATCGTACCAACCCTCATTTCACCAGTAACCCTTGATTTCATTTAGAATCGCATAATTGAGTCAAATCTCGCATTCTGATTGGTTAACGAAGCGAGGTATTTAGTGTGGAATTGCGAGTTGAAAACGAGGCTAAGCGATATTGTCTCGCATCTACGTAACAACTATCGTCAAATTCTAACACAACAACTGCAAAAAAGGTTTTCTACAATATCATTTTACAATGTTTTCAAAACCATTGTCACCTTTTGAAGATTTAAAAACAAACAAAAGCGTTTTTTTATAGTGAGCGGGAGGTTCTTCCTTGTTTTGACCTGAACTACAAATTCTCGAAGAGGCATAAAAAACCTCTTTCGCTCGCGACAACGAGAAAACAAGAAAATCTTGTGAACACGGCCCAGAAAATGGCAAGCCAAAGTTCAACCAAACAAAACGGAAAAACGACAACGAACGAAGTACCGGGGTCGATTGTCACATACACAGGAGAAGAAATACGTGTAAATACCTTCAAAGACGACAGGGCCCCTCAGTGAAAACACGAAAAAGAGTACGCTGCTTGCAATCGTCCTGAATCGTGATACTTAGAAAAGTACAAAACAGAGCTGAACTTGAACAGCATTTCTAAAACATTTCAAGGTACTTACCATATATCAATCGCGACGTTATACTTTCAGTGTTTTCGTTTGGACACTTCATTTCTTTAAGTTTTGCCACCGAAGAGGTAAAAGGTGTAAATTATTTTCCTTCTCGAGCAAATGACCAATTTGAAAAAAGATGTTATAGATAAACGGCTTGTAAATTCAGTGAAATACCTCTATTTATCCTTACGATTAGTGTAAAGCTTGTTTACATGTAAAAAAGTTTGAAAACAAATGTAAAAACAAGCACAAGGTACAAAAAAAGTTGTCGAAGGTCTTCAAACGTGTACGACTGACCTTGCTCCTATTCGCTAACGCAATGACAGTTCTGACAGTTGACTTTGAATGGCTTTCTGGAGCGCGCGCTCAGGATAAAAACAAACAATAGCTATTATTGCCGTTTTCTTTTCTTTTTTTTTCTGATTTTTATTCAGTTATGCGATTCAAGGAAAAATCAATACCTGACTCGTGAATTCCACGTTAAAAGTCGTTAAATTTATTTTGAAAACCGATATCGCACTCATCGCCGCGATTGGTGCGATATCGGTTTTCGCGGCAATTTAACGTGGAATTCCCTCTTCAGGTAATGAATTTTCCTATAATAGTACTAGAAGTTGTTTTCTTCCGTTTTATCTTCTCTTCTCTTGTGAGACAATGACTGAAGTTGTACAACAATTTGTGACATTTGTGACATACCAACTGTCTAGAATGTCTAGAATGAGCCACGGTAAAGTCTATTCGCATGCTTTTATTCTGTTCGATCATTTTTTATTTTTTTTCGATCGGATTACAATCTTCTAATAGATCTCTATAATGCAAACACATATCCGCGGTGCGAAGTGGCGGCATAAAAATGTCAAAAATGGCATCCTAATTTATGCATGACTTTATTCTGCTTTTGTCGCTTTTAAGACTCTTTATTTTAAGCGCGGCCAAACTGGAGATCGAATGCTGGGCGCTATAAGTCATAAAAGACATAAAAAAGTTATTAATAATATTAACCTTGATGATTAACCTCTCACCTTTTCTCTTGTGGCTTTTGTCGTCATGTTGGTGTGAGCGTTTATGTCCGCGCTTTAAACTCTTGCCGACCTTGCTGTCTTTGCTGCGAGATCTGTGTTCTTTTTTGTCCTTTTTCTTGTGTTTACCCATGATTTTAGCTGATTGTCAGCTTAATGAAAACACAGGAAAGACCTCTACAACGGATTCTTACAACTACGTAAAACTTCAATGAGAATTTCTTTGACCTTTCTTGATCTTTCTTGGGCTTCTCCTATTTAATAAAGCTCTTTGTCTGTATAAGCGTCTTTTGTCTTTTTGTCTAGACACTCTGTAACTCTGACCAGTAACCATTACGATTGATGTAATGACCACGTGCCAACCATAACGATTGACGTAATGACCACGTGCCCTCTGTGACCTTCGACCCTTTTGTATGTGGTTCATGACAAGAAGTTAAGTGTGAATGATGCTTTACGTAATAGTGACAATAGTGATAGTCACGTCTCGTTGCAGAAAAGAGTCACGCGGACCTGGTCTGGCCGCCGTCGAAATGATGCAATAAAAAAGTGGGAAGATGTCGCTTTCTCTAGCTAAAAAATATATTGTCGTTGTCAAAAAATGTCGCTCTTTTTCTGTCAGTTCCTGTCGGCTGTCGGTGTTTTTAAAAAAGATTGTCGCCACATTTTGAGGTCATGTCGCCTGTCGGTAAAACCCCTTGGAAGGCCTCATTAGCAGTCGCGGGTCCAACAGATAACGGAGAAATTTCCAAAGAGTCGTTGTTGTCCGAGGGCGTGTTAACCGAAGGAACAGGCGGCGTGTTGTCTGCGTCGTTGACAGGAGGAATTTCCGAGATGGTGGTCCAAGAAAAAGGGCATTTCCGAGCTAGATGAGTTGTGGCTTTGCAAATATTACAGGCGATGGGAGCGGGACAATCGCTAGCCAGATGGCCGGTTTTTTCGGAGTTAAAACAAATGATGGTATGACAGGCGTTGGCAAAATGCGAAGCAGAATGACAAAGGCAGCACGTTTTAGGCTGTCCAACATAACGAAACTGAATAAATTTTTTTCTAAAGCGCATATAGCTGGGGATGGGTTTTTTCATCCGAACACGATAGTGACGGCTCCCATCTTGAACATTTTCCCATCCAGGGTCGCGAAAAAAACCACGTCGGTAGGTGACAACTTCACAGTAATCTGCGAGGCGTTGAATTATCGCTGAGTCGGGCAGTTCATGTGGCGCGTCGAAAATTTGAACAAACGTGAGCGGGCGATCAACATCTTGAATAGCGTAAGGAGCCTTTGTTGACTTTGAGGACACTGGAACGGACAAAACGTTCTTTGAGGTCAGCTTTTCGAAAGGTTAACAAAATCTCGCCACTGGCTTTACGCTGAATACAAGCAACACTTGACCCGTCGAGGCCAGCTTCTTGTAGGGCGGACAACACATCACACGAGGGCAAACGAACTTGCGGCGAAAAAAAGGCTGTTAACGGCCGCCCGGGTAAACGATTCGCATCTTCAGGTCGAGCAACATCTCTTCCATCTTCTCCAGCAACAATTTGGTTAAAATGAACGGGTAAACCGGGGCTATCGACCCCGCGATCGACAGAGACTACATCTTCGCTTGAATGATTAACAACAACTGCGCCAGGGGAAGGTGCGTTCCCAGCATTCACATCCATCGTAAACTCGTAAGCACGTGCTCCTCGCGAGGAAAACACGCGACAATCGCTTCAAAAAACGAGAAAGATTTTTGAGAGGGCAAGCCCCCTAAAAAACAAAAACCACAACTCTTTGCAAATTACAAACCTTAAGGCGTCAGAAACAGATGTACTGATCTTAGCCAAAAGGCCGAGAAGCGATGCCCCTTTAGGTCCTCCGGACCTAGGGTGGTTGGCTCCTTCCCCATCCTAGATATGGTGGTTGCAATACTGTCGCATCCCCTGATGCATCTGGCACTCTATGCGAGGACAGGGAGATATCATTGGCTCAGTCCGAGCACGGATACTCGGCCAAGCTCCCCAGGACACTACAGTGTGTATAGACAGGGATCAAATAGCGTCTACACGGTACTCAGGCCCTAACAGCTCGGCCATTAACCTATAGGAGGACAGGGAACACGAAAACGAGGCAGACTGGGACCGCTTACTAGGCCCTAAAGGTTTTTACAGCCCGGAAAGCTCCGTGTAAGTGGCCGCATAAATTTATTTACAGCTACAAAGGAAGACTTCACAGCCTGTTTTGTAGGTCAGGGTTGCCTGAGGAGAGTAATGAAGTAATGCCTCGCTTACATGTTCACCATACTCGGTATAAGAAGTCAAATTTTCTCTCCTTTCTCTCGCCTACGACCATACCACAGGGAGAACTCCGGTTCTCGTCTGATCACCGAAGTTAAGCCCTGTCGGGCGGGGTTAGTACTTGGATGGGTGACCGCCTGGGAATACCCCGTGTTGTAGGCTTCTTCTTTTCATTTATTTTTCCTGGAATTTTTTCATCATTTTTGCTGTTTTACCCCTAGCTGGGATGTACCTCTGCTGTCAGTTGCCAAGTTACGCCGAATTATTCTTCGAAGCAATTAAGTTGTGGGGTCATTTTTTTTCACAATAATACACTGCAAAAACTAAGTTCTTACTTTAAGTGAAAAAATTAACTCGCATTGAGAGCGATGGCACCTCATAGTTAGGTCCCTCAGGTAAGGGAGTCATCCTCGTAAACTAAGGGCCTTATCTGATTTTGGACACTTAAAATGAGACACACAATACACTAAGTATAAGGTCAATAGGAACCTTGATTTAAGGCAATTCAAACTTATATTAATGGCTTGATGGTTCTTGTTTTAAAAACAGATAAGTTCAGTTTAAGGGCATACAGTTTTTAAATCAAGAGTCCTTGAATCCCATATTAAGCTCTATATATTCCTTGTTACAAGGG